AATATAGACAAAAGTACTAGCAAATTAATAAATAAGAGCCTTACCTTTAGAAAATATTGTTTGTTTAACGAATACACCAAAATATTTCTAAATAATCCACTTCCAAAAGTACGTAAATGAACCCGCTATCAAAAATGCGCGCCAATTGGTATAACGTCAGAAAGATACAAATATTGAAGTCAAATGTCATTATTTTAGTTAATTTTTGATAAGTCAATGGACAAAGGAATCACTGCCATTCAGCCAAATGTATCGATATCAAAACTGTTGTCGGGTATCCGCGCAAAAAGTTATTGATTCATTTTTGGGACTCTATGCATTTAAGGGTTAATTTTGCTATTACTTGGACTGACAAAAAAATAAAAATCTCTCGTTTCTCATTTAAATTAAATTAAATCTTTTTTATCTGAGCCCACGGGGAGAATTAAAAAAAATATCCCTCGTAGATCTCGGTAACTTATTTGCGTTAAAAATTGTTCGCGTTGAAAATTTTATCGATTTTATCGGTTCACTTTGTTGCGATTTACAACAAATTGAAGATCGCAAAAATTGCAGTTTCGTCACGATTTTGACGAAATTTTGACAATTTTTTTTTTATCATTTCGAGGTCTGTTCGGCAATTTGTCCAAACACATTTTTCGGGATATTTATTGCATACTGTGTTAGCGGGCTGCGGATTTTTATGCGAAACAAAAACTGTCCGTTGCAAAGGATGCAGACGGAACGCGCAAGTTCTTTCTCCCGGTAATAATTTCAGTCGGCTCGAAACGATACGTCGACCATCTTCGAATTGTAACCACACGATTCTCGGACGAACGTTCTTCCTAGTGTAGCAGCAATTTATTTGATTTGATCGCCGACAAGATTGAGTAACACCGAGCGAACGATTCCAAATACTCCGAGGGAAAATTGACTCGGCCCTCGTCTCGCGAGGTTCAAGAAGAAATAAGAAAGCACGAACGGTGAAAATTATATCGGAATCGTTTCATAGTCGAGCCGCTCACTCGCCGAATCGATTAACTCCGTGAAACAGAAAGTGGACAAATGCGATGAAATAATTGTACATTGTTATTCCAAGATTCCCATTGAAATAAAATAAACGTTTAGATAAACATACAGATATAGCCTTCGTAGAAAGACATGCAGGAACAGTAGCTTTGGTGTAATTGTTATATCGGCTGAAATAAATTATTCATTATTTATATCATTGTTTCACTATATATTTATATAATACCATATATATATATATATATATATATATATATATATATATATATATATATATATATATAGAGAGAGAGAGAGAGCTAGAGAGAGCGAGGAACATATAGAGAGAGTCAGAGAGAGTGAGAGAGAAACATAGAGAGAGCTAGAGCGAATATTATATATATGAATATATAAATATAATATAATATAATATAATATAATATAATATAATATATATAATATATATAGAGAGAGAGCGAACGAGAGACAGAGCGCGAGAGANNNNTATATATATATATATATATATATATATATATAGAGAGAGAGAGAGAGCTAGAGAGAGCGAGGAACATATAGAGAGAGTCAGAGAGAGTGAGAGAGAAACATAGAGAGAGCTAGAGCGAATATTATATATATGAATATATAAATATAATATAATATAATATAATATAATATAATATAATATAATATAATATATATAATATATATAGAGAGAGAGCGAACGAGAGACAGAGCGCGAGAGACAGCGCGAGAGAGAGAGAACGCGAGAGACACAGCACATTATATAATATAATATATATTTATATTTATATATATATATATTATATACATTTATATAATACTATACATTTGTATTGTTACTTTATTATATATTTTATTATTTATATTATCAATATTATTTACTTTATATCACTTAGCCTGCATTATTTGGAAAATTCGTTATAAATAAAGAAAAGGTTCCGACCGTGAACCAAGTGCTTCGACACTTAAATTTTCGAAAAGTGGATTTAATCGATTCGGTCCGCGAACGTCTCGGTGATTAACCCGTGGAAAGCTTGAAAATTTCTCTCGAAATCGCAAGGAAAGGTACGATTTCCGGCGACGCAGCGTCCAAGAAAAAAGCGAAGTTCACGCGTGAAGCGGCGTGCGAGAAAGGGTTGAAACGCTGCGGGTCGCAACGAAAGGAAGAGAGAAGCGTTGCGCGAAACGCGGAGGATCGCGTACGCCAATGGTCCTGACCTACATCGGGACAAACCCGGTTGTAGAGTCGCCGCGCGGTTCGGCGGTAGCCGCGAATCCCGCGTGCCGGGACCACCGCTCCGCGACTACCATTCGATAGATAGATACTTACGAGACGCCGTTTCCGCTGGGAGGCTTCAAGGTCACCGATTGGTGCCCGCCTAATCTAGATCCGGCTAGGACGATTCCGCGGGATGATCGAAGGTGGCACCGATTCTAGGAAGGCGGTCCAATAGAACGTGTCGAGTTAGCGCAGACGCAGTCGCGGTCTCTCCTTCCCCGCGGGCCTCCCGCCGAATCAAATCTACTTTGCGGCGCTAGGCGTGCGCGCGCACCTCTCGCGCTTTGCCATCCCGACTGCCTATTGGCCTCGACCAATCGTCCCGCTCTCTGACCCCCCACCCCCCTCTCTATCGCTCTCTATACATCTCGCGCTCGCTCTATCTCTCTCTATGCATCTCGCGCTCGCTCTCTGTCTCTTTCTATGTATCTTTCGCTCGCTCTAGCTCTCTCTCTATGTTTCTCTCGCTTTCTCTGGATCTCTCTATATTTCTTTCTCGCTCCCTCTAGCTCTCTCTCTATATTTCTCTCTCGCTTTCTCTGGCTCTCTCTATGTATCTCTCGCTCTCTCTAGCACTCTCTATGTATCTCTCGCTCTCTATAGCTCTCTCTGTTTCTCTCGCTCTCTTTAACTCTCTCTATATTTCTCTCTCGCTCTCTCTCGCGCTCTCTTTCTCCCACGCTCTCTCTCCCGCGCTCTCTCTCTCGCGCTCTCTCTCTATATTTCTCTCTCGCTCTCTCTCGCGCTGTGTCTCTCGCTCTCTCTCTCTCTCTCTCTCGCTTCGTCTCTCTCTCTCCCTCTCACCCTCTCTTTCTCTTTCTCTCTCTCTCTATCTCTATCTCTCTCTCTCGCTATCTCTTTATCGCCCCGACACATCCGACTTATCATTAAGCACATAATGACACCGCACACCGACAATTCTCCTCTCTATCGTGTTCTCGATCGTTCGCCATTTTCCGCTCGTTCGCCGCAATCTCTTTTGCCACCTTTTTGCCCTATCAACGACCCCGACGCGTCGTCGACGGCGCCCCCGACAAAAGGTCGCAACACGTTTCGTCGAAAAACGTCTCGCGCGCGAAAAACCGGAAGCTTTTCTGAAGCTAGATTCTAAACTGAAAGCTAGTTTCTAAAAATAATCGCGTCGGACGCTGTGCAGAATTCGAAATTCCGTCGGAACCATACACATTTAGTGTTCCGTAAATCTAGCGTTAAAGAAGATAGAAAGATAGACAGAGAATTACACGTGTGTGAGTAGAGAGAGAAAGAGAGAGAGAGAGAGAGAGCAAAGCGCGTGGGATAAGAGTCGCGAGATCAGTTAATGAGATGTATATAATTAATACCATTATAAATTAATACCATACCTAATAATTCTAATACCATTGTTACCTACATATACATATGTACATATATTCAAATGGATTTTAAATATATGTTCGTGTTTCGTCTTCTAATTCGCTCACGATTTTAACGCTAGAACCAGCGAACACCAGTCAATATGGCCAGCCTCCGATTTCCTCTTTCACATTTACCGAGATCAGAAATTAATATTAACATTGCGTTATAATATTAATTTAAATATTCCAGGAAACCGGTGAAACGTCATCCTAAACGAGATTTTTATTTTCACAGTTTACACAAGCTTCGCGAATTTGCAAGAAACCGTAACACGCACCGTTTAATTATTTAGAATAAAAATTAAATAAATTTTTGTTACACTCGCATAACTACATCATGCTTACGCCTTCGAGCGAGGCGAGCCTAATCATTACAGCATCGTTAAGCCAGAAGGCGTTAATAACATTTTAGAAACGCAAATGACTTTATTCGGCCTAAATGACTTTATTCGGCCTAAATGACTTTATTCGGCCTAAATGACTCTCTTATTCCTGGAAACCTTCCGGCGATTATGTTTTACAATCCCGGTTAAACGATGCGAGCTAGTGTTTGGTGTTGTTGACCGGCCGTCCTAATGAAGTGCGCATTTCCTTTACCTGAATCGAGATTATCTGCACAGCATAAACAAATTTGGTAGGTAGCTCGGGATACACCGCATAGCACCTCTAATCTCTCCCTAATATGAATCGAACGACGGGACTCTTTCGTATCCCTATTAACGAAATCGGTGAACCATCGTCGTAAAAGTGTCTGGCCGGGCCGGTTAGCCCTCGTTAGCCCTGCAAGCCGAGACAGCACGGACCATTTTCTACCTGGATCGCCGATTTGTCTCATTACGATCGTCGCAGAAGGAGAGGTAGAACCAGAAGCAGAATCGTACAGAGGCGGAAGCGAGCCGCAGCCGAAAAGCCGAGGCCGAGCGGCTCGGAGAGGTGGAAAGTGACTGTTAGGCCGGCGGGTGTTCGCGGGCAAGGCGGCGGGGACGGAGCGCGGTCGCCCCCACCAGCGCCGCCGGCAACGGCAGCGGCCGAGCACCGGCGGCGCGGCACGGTGCGGCACCGGCTCGGCGGCGGTTCACGTGGGCTAAAGTTAGTCGCGTGTGAGCGCGGTAGGCGTGGCCTCCGGGCAGCGGAGACGGAGACGGCGACGGAGACGGAGACGGCGGAGGCGAGCCGCAGGTGAGAAGAGAGAAGCGGAAACGGCCAGGCACGTAAACGGCCGAGCTACCGACAGACGACGACGCGCGCTCCACGCGAGACCGTGCGCGTACCCTCCTCGGCCAGACCGAGGTCAGTCAGGGTCCTGCTCTTCGACAGGACACTCGAGAGAGAGCATCTCTTCCTGCGAGTCGAGCACCGAGCATCGAGCACATCGGACAGCTGTCAGCCAGCCAGCCTGCCGCCGCCGTCGCATCTTCTTCCTCGCTTTCGACCCGTCTCGTCGCTGCTCCGCCGACCCGTTGGATCACGCCACGAGCCTGCGGACTCGCGCGTTCGAACACCGACTCGAATTATCGTCTCGAATCGTTCGAAATCCCCGATTCCTCGGGGCCGCGTCCCCGCGGGACCCGCCGTCCTAGATCGCGCGGCCAGCGGGAGACACCGCGGATCGTCCCGCGACTCCTCGCGAGATCTCTGCCCGACCGGAGCAACGAACCGAACGGGTTTTCGACACGTGCGCCCACGGGGACCCAGCCTGGCCGCCGCGACCTTGGCGAACCACGTGGAGAACAGCGCGCCGAACAGATCGCCGGCGACACGGCCGTCGATCGCGCGACCCACCAGTGAACGGAGGACCCGACCCGGCCCGACCCGGACCGCTCTGTGTAATCGATCGATCGATCGATCGATCAGTTGTGTTGCTCAAGGAATTTGTGTTGCCCAAGACCACCCGGCCTAGGTCTAGTGTCCGTATCAACGCCGAAGAGACTTACCGTGGAGTTACTCTTCCCCGGTGGAGCAACTGGCCCTCTCCATGAACTGGCCGAAGATTTAACACCAACGATCGAGCAACCAGTTTGGACGCAATGTGCGGTGAGTCGATTATTTATAATTTTTATTTGTTCGTTTTATCCGCGCTTTTCACCTGGACCCCGCGGTTTCGGGGCCCATCGTCCCGGGATTGATATAACTTGGCGGATTTATTTACGTTTTGACCGGTTTATTCGACATTTTTAGGGCTATTTTACTCGAGCCTTCTCGTTCGATTGTTGTTCGTTTCGTAGTTTGTCGATCGATCGTTTGTTGTTCGATCGGTTTTTATTCGATCGTTCTTCGTTCGATTGTTCGCCGTTCGTCGTTTTTCGTTCGATCGTTTCTATTGGGTTGGCAACTAAGTAACTGCCGATTTGTTCAATGAAATAAAAAATTTTTGTTTACTTGGAACGAAGTTTAATCTGTAATGTATTTTCCATTTTGTTCGATGACCTTTTGCCATCTCTCTGACAACTTGAAAATGCCACGCTCGTAGAAAGTCTGATCCTTTTCGGCCAAAAACTGAGTTAAGTGAGATTTCACAGCGTCATCGTCATTCAAAGTTTTACCACGAAGGGAGTTGTCCAGGGTTCGAAATAAGTGGTGATCCGATGGCGCGAGATCAGGGCTATATGGTGGGTGTAACATCGATTCCCAAGCAATATCCATCAATTTTTGCCGAGTGGACAAAGACGTGTGCGATTGACCAATTCTGGTCGCTTTTCCTTGACCGCTGCATTCAATTTGTCCAGTTGCTAACATTCACGGATAATAAAAAATAACAAAATAATAATAATAATAATTTTATAATATAACATTTACGGATATCATAAAAATGGGAGTGAGAGACATCTATAACTGA